GATATGTAGCTGTCTAGCAGTGTGTATCTGTATATGTGTGACTGCCAGTGTGTGTGTTTGGTGATATGTAGCTGTCTAGCAGTGTGTATCTGTATGTGTGTGACTGCCAGTGTGTGTGTTTGGTGATATGTAGCTGTCTAGCAGTGTGTATCTGTATGTGTGTGACTGGCAGTGTGTGTGTGTGTTTTGTGATATGTAGCTGTCTAGCAGTGTTTATGTGTATGTGTGTGACTGGCAGTGTGTGTCTGTTTTGTGATATGTAGCTGTCTAGCAGTGTTTATGTGTATGTGTGTGTCTGTTTTGTGATATGTAACTGTCTAGCAGTGTTTATGTGTATGTGTGTGACTAGCAGTGTGTGTGTTTGACAATGTCTGGCTGTAGTCTTCAACTGTGTATCTGTGTGTCTGTTCATGTATGGCAATGTGTGTCTGTGAGCATGTATTTGTTCGTCTGAGTGTGTGTTCACGTGTTTGGAGGTGTGTCCGATGGTTTTGTAAACAACTCTATATGCTCCGATGGCAGATCTGATCGGACTACAATTCAGTGTCCCATGATTCTTTGCCAGCCTTAAAGCTTCTTTCCCTACAGCATGTGCTTTTCACTTAAAGGGACACTAGAGGCACCTAGACCACTTCATCTCATCATGTTTACATTGCATGGTTAAGACTGCCTCTAGTGGCGATTCCTTCACTTTCACATAGTTTAACATTGTGAAATGATGCTGGACATCTTCATGCTTTGCATTCAGCATCTTCAAAATATTGCAATGCTTTCTTTGGGAAAGGAAGGCCTAATGCAACCTCACAGCTCACTGTGCATGCGCATTAGGATCCCACTTGCGATCAGTGGCGTACATACCAGGGTCGGAGGGGTCGCGGTTGCAACCGGGCCCGGCCCACCAGGGGGCCCGGCCGCCCCTGCGACCCGGTATGTACCCACAGGGCCAGCCTCTTCTCCTGGGGGGCCCAGGAGGCGGCCACCTCGGGCCCCCCCGAGGCTGGCCC